CCTTCCAGGCTTTGTTAGTACCCTGCCAGCACCCCTAACCTCCCTTCACCTATGAATAATAAATTTCTGCATGTATTTTGGTTTTACCTTCTTGTTGTGCCTTACCTGACACACAAACCAGAATTACCTCTATCAATGTTCTTCTAGAAAATGGCTATCTTGTATCTTGGAATTTAATCACTCTTGATAGAGGGATCTCAAGACCAAACTAAAAATAATTCGTAACAATAAATATTATATGTATTTTAAAAGATAAAATATGCTTCATGTATATGATTGCTAGTTTCCAAAGCTAAATAAGCAGAGTTCTAGCATCAGAATTTAGAAAAAATGTTTTAGTTCACCAGCAATCTAACATAACCAGCTCTAATCATCCATATGCAGTCCTCATCTTGCTCAATCCAGAAGATCTACTTGACAGGTGATCTCTCCTTGTTTTGGTAACAGGTGGCCTCCAGGACTCAATTTTCCCATGATTCTTCTCTCTTTATCTACAAAGTCCTGCTCATCCTTTTTTTGCTCATCCTGTCTTCTTGCCTTTGTAGAGGCCCGGGACTCAGTCTTCTGTCTTCCTCACTTATGTCCACATTTGTTTCTGAGGAGATCTCATTCTGTCATACTGCTTCTAAATTGATAGGCCCAGCCTCAATCTTTTCTATAATTCCAGACTCATATCTACGTGCTTTCTCAATATCCCCCATACAGATATCTGTGAGGCTTTTCACACTTCCTACTCTGCTCCAGTGATACCTTATCAGGGGGCCATCCTGGAACACCCTGCATTAAGATTCACATCACTCTCTAACCCTTTACTGTTTTACATAACAACATACATAGTATATATTTTATTTTTAAACTTCTACTCTTAGTCCCACTTCCCAATACATTTTTGACTCAGGAAAAGCAGGAGGTTTGTTTTCTTCACTGTTTTAGTCACAGCACTTGTTAAAATACATAGCACATAAGTATTTTTTGACAATTAAATGAAAGAATAAAATAGCATAGAATAAAATTATACTGTACAATATGTAATTATCTGAATGCAACTGGAGTAATGTCATTGCCATAACAAAACCTCTGCACTGTATATTATATTAGCTTTCTATTTTATATGAGAAAAATCTCACTTAGAAATTTAAATGAGTTACCCAGTTTCCCAGAGATAGTGAATAATAAACCACAGATTTGAAGGTTTTTTTTAATACAGTGCAGAATAAAAGAAGACATAATGATTGATCAATAAGATATACTAGTTGTAATAATAGTAGTGGTAGCAGACATTATTTTATCTTAAAATCTTCTTGGGTAATTTTAACTAAAATTAAAATTAGCCACTTTCCAAAAAAATGTTCAGTTCTCTAACATTATTTTTCTAATCTTAATTATCTTTTCCATTTATAAGGAAAATGTTATAGAACAGTAAGGCTAATAAGAACATTAAGATATTCTATTTCAAACATTCATGTAAAGCTTGAAACACTTCTATCTGCCAGTGGTTATATAGTATGTATTTGGTAGTCTTCCAAGACAGAAAACTCCTTCACTTGTCTCTCCATCAAAAGTCTCTTATATTGGATTTTTCACTCATTTTGGCCAAAGATAAAATATTTACTAATGTAGGCTTCAAAAGAACACATTAAATGTATTCTTTTCAATGTTTACTAATGTATTCTAAAAAAGAAAACATAATACTTTAATTTATAAGTACTTTTCTCATTGTGTAAAATTTACCTTAGCAATCATGTTTGCACAGAATAACCCCAAAAGCTACTTAAAAAGCACTGTGTTAAGTTTCAAACTGAACATTTTTTTGAAGAAGCATGGATTTCTGTTTTTTCCCAGTGGCCTCCATAAGTGCTATGACTTTCCACTTAATGCTTAGCTTTTTCTGCAGTAGTCCCTTTGATAGCATCCACTTTGAACAACCATTTATTGAATCTCAAATATTAGCCAGCTCTATTAAAAATGGACAGGGTAAAGTAGCAATAGCCTATAATCCTTCCAGAGGCAAATTTAGTCCCCTAATGTCCTTCTGACTATTTAATAAATATCCCCATTTAGTGAAGGAGGTCTAAGTAGGAAAGGAAAAATGTTTCATCATTAGCTTTTCCATCATCAAAGTAGCCAAACAGCAGTCAGAGTCAAGTTTTTCTATCTTCCCATATTGTGAGAGTCTGGAGTTAAAAGTCTGAAAGTAAACTTAATGGGATCCCTTGCCACAACATCTGGATTAACATATAAGAGAAAATTTAATGTATTTGTTTTCTAGGGCTGTCATAACAATTACATAATCAAGAAAAATATATTCTCCCTCAGCTCTGGAGGTTAAAAGTTAAGGTGCCATCAGGTTGGATTTCTTCTGAGGCCTCTATCCTTGGCTTATAGATGGGGCCACCTTCTCACTATGCCTTCTTGTGGTCTTTTTACTGTGCATGTCTCTGTCGTCTCTTTCTCTTCCAAATTTCCTTTCCTTTTAAGGACACTAGACATATTCAATTAAGGCCCACCATAATGGCCTCATTTTAATTTAATCACTTTTTAATGTTCCTGTCTTCAAATATACACACATTTTGAGATACTGGGGGTTAGGACTTCTCATGTGAATTTGCTAGGGTGTTAGAGGGGGCATAATTCAGCTCATAATATCTCAGAATACCCAATGAAAGAACTCTTCTACAAACCACCATTTTAACAATTCAAGGGTATAATAATATATAATATATAATGGTATATATTGTTTTATTATAATATATTACACATATATTGTTCATTTACTATATAATATATTGTGACTATATTATATAGTATATATTATTATATACTTCAATAATATACAATAATATAATAAATATATTAAGAAGAATCTTGCAGTAAATTCAGGAGTCAACTATAGTTCTACTTGTAGGCTTGGTAAAAAATTACAACCACAAATATTCTACTAGATTTTTAATTAAATGGACTTATTTGTCATGGCATTATCTTTCCATGCTTTCAATTTAAATGTTACAAGAAAGCACAGAGTATAAATAATGAATTACCTTGTTTTATCTGTCTTGACTCTTACACTATTGAAAGCCTAAGTTTATTTTTAGTGATAGAATAATCTATAGTGATAATACAATCTTTGTAGGAGCAAATGATAATTCCTAAACTTGGCTTGCTTGGCAATACAGGCATGGTTTATTTGACTCAGTGCTTGCTGTTTATATCCAAACGTGTTTTAAAATGAATTAGTCTATAATTTCACTTTAATTAAAAAGAAGACCAAAATTTCTATATGCTGTAGACTTAATAGGATTTGCACTTATGACATTTGAAATATACATTCATCTAGCTTACTTTTTCATTACCTTGGAAAGAGGTTTATAGTTTTAAAGAAGCAATAGAAGATCTCTTTTATTGTACTAAGAATGAGAACCACCATAAAAATTCCAATAGAAAACCAAAGAGTAGATCCAAAATTCAAACATACCTTACAACCTCTTACCAACATCTCTGTTTATGCAAAATATAATGATATTCATATTATATAAGACTGATAATTCTTTAGAATGCATATCTATTTTAATTAACTCTTTCACACAACAATGATTCATTAAAATATAAAGCTCATAGAGACAGAGTTGAAAATAATAGACATTTTAGATGTCTATCATTATTAGAAAACAATACAATCTTTCAGTGAGATTTTGGACAAGTTATTTAACCATATTCTCTCAGTTTTCCCATATCTACAATGAAAAACATAATAGCACTTAATTTTTGTTGGTTTTCTGAGAATTAAATAAAATATTGCATAAATAATAGCACAGATCCTAGAGTATAGTCAATATCCAGTAGATATTAACTATTAATCTTATTAATTATTAATGATTATTAACTATGCTATTAGGCCTTAGAACATTTTCCTTTCCTTGGGAAATACAATTAAAAATATGAAAATTTTTAAATTTTGAATTTGGATATTTTGCAGTGGGGTCATTTTCTATTTCCATTTTTGATCTTCTTAATAGTTTAGTATTTTTATCTGAGTCAAATGGCTTTGATTAATGGTCTTATAACAAAGAATTTTTTAAAAAACAGTGTACTCAATAATTCTTTATTATGGTGTAAAGAAGTAGCTTTACTCATCAAAATAAAGGTAGACACTCATCACATGGATACCCTCATTGTTGAAAATGGCCTGAAGCTCACCACTCCTCTAATCTCTTCATACTTATCCAAAATATTTTTTCCTTCAAAATATGGTCTCATAACCATCTGCTTCCAGATACAATGGATGTTACTTAAGTAAGCAGTTTCCTGGGCCCCAGCTCAGAGGTAATAAATCAGAATCTCTAGAGTTGGGACTCAGCAGACTTCATGGATAACATATTTCTTAGCAATTGTAAAGGGTTAAATATTCAAATCAGAGCACAAGAAAATGCTTTCAGCTTTTCTGCCTTCTTGTTTTAATAACTAGGAGCAAAGGCACCTTTCTTTTCCAAATAAGCTTTGGCTTTCCCTGTGGATCTATTAAATAATTACACAGATATACTTGCCACAATTTGGGGGCTCCAAATAGAAACATGATCATGTTATAGTCTAGAAAAAAATACACAATAAATTAAAGGATCAAAAATCACTGTATTTTTTCCTCTGTAAAATTGCTGCACTTTCTCTTAGAAAATGTGGTAAGACTTGAAAAGACTCATGGGTTTTATGATTCTCTTATCATTCTGGGAAAACTCAGCCTTTACTTTCAACATTTCCTCAGTACAACGAAACTTTTCAAGATAAATTTCTCACCTCAGGATAAAATGTGGTTTTGTACGGTGTCAATGACATTTGAGGGAAAATAGTGAAGTACACATTGAATTTGACATAACATATTTTTTTGTTCAGAAGTAATTTTGAAAAACTTAAAAGAATTACTGAAAGAATTAGATGAGTACTTTGTACTGTTAAATTCACATTCTGTAAGTTTTTATAATTTTTAAAATTTGGGGGGTATTTTTCAGGAATTGCATTACCACCTAAAGGAAATATAGATATCCCAGTGTTATTTATGCCCAAAATTATGAAATTATGCAAAACAATGGTCATTGTTCAAATGATGAGAGCAAATGGAGAAAAATGGCATATTGACAATTTTGATGAATTGGATACAGAGATTAAAAGGTAACATTTAAGTAATGACAGGAAGATGATTTTTTTGACTGGCATTGTTGTAATAGGTTTCTTTTACATGTTATATATAAATGCTATAATGTTCATGATTCAATATTTTCTGAGCTGCTGAAACCCATATGTTCAGAGGAGGAAAATACATTTGTTACATGGATGGATATATATATATGGATATATATATATATAATTGTTAATTTGTACTTTAGAGTAATAAACAAGTTTTGTCTTAAATACCATTATCAATTAGTCAGTGGTATGTAAAGGTACTCACTTTTGACTGGGAAAATAATAACTGCTAGGACAATAATAATCAATATTCTGAAGACAACCTGAAGCTGCTTATCTGGACACAGTGTAGGACTTCTGATGCTAGCATTCACCAAGTGATGGCATTATGCCAGGTGGGTATGACATTATGATATAACATTGCCAAAATGCAGATAATTTATATTCTCTTTTCTTAGCTGAAATTTAAGCAAACTCTTCTAATGGTGCAAAATCAAATGTTTTCTCTGCTATTATAGTTTATTTAAATAATGGTAGAATTGGTAATTAAAAAGAAATTCTCATTTTCTCCTCCATTTTCATATTTTTCCTGCATATAATTAGTTTTTTTAACTTTGTTTCCATTAGTATCCATTCTGCTAGGCATTTTACCACTCTTAGCTGACTACATAATTTGTGGGCCTCAGTGAAAAATGATAACAAGGAAATCCTTGTTAAAAAAAAAAAAAAGATCAACCATGGAGTTTTACTCAGCACTAAAAAATGACAAAATCATGGAATTTGCAGGGAAATGGATGGCACTAGAGCAGATTATGCTTAGTGAAGCTAGCCAATCCCTAAAAAACAAATATCAAATGTCTTCTTTGATATAATGAGAGCAACTAAGAACAGAGCAGGGAGGAACAGCATGAAGAAAAGATTAACATTAAACAGAGACATGAGGTGGGAGGGAAAGGGAGAGAAAAGGGAAATTGCATGGAAATGGAGGGAGACCCTCATTGTTATAAAAAATTACATATAAGAGGTTGTGAGGGGAATGGGAAAATAAACAAGGAAAGAAATGAATTACAGTAGATGGGGTAGAGAGAGAAGATGGGAGGGGAGGGGAGGGGGAATAGTAGAGGATAGGAAAGGTAGCAGAATACAACAGTTACTATTATGGCATTATGTAAAAATGTGGATGTGTAACCAACGTGATTCTACAATCTATATTTGGGGTAAAAATGGGAGTTCATAACCCACTTGAATCTAATGTATGAAATATGATATGTCAAGAGCTTTGTAATGTTTTGAACAACTAATATAAAAAGAGAAAAATAAGATCAAGAATTTCAAGAAAGTTTTGGTAGTACACTAAACAAGCATAGTCCTAAATGTGGGGTCATACACAGTTGCACAAGTCACTTGCACAACTGGGGTCTTATAACTGCAGTGTTTTACATTTCATTTTAACAAGAAAATTCCATCTTCAGCAATGATCAGTAATATTTTCTAGTACTGCTATTCTCCTAATGATATATGATGGACCTAGAATATTTAGACATATGCCCCTTTGTTTTTTTTTGGGGGGGGGTTGGTTCTGAAGATTGAACCCAGGGATGCTCAACCACTGAGTCACATCCCCAGTCCTATTTTGTGTTTTCTTTAGAGACAGGGTCTCACTGAGTTGCTAACTGCCTCAATAAGTTGCTAAGGCTGACTTTGAACTCACAATCCTCCTGCCTCAGCCTCCAGAGCTGCTGGGATTACAGGCATGTGCCACTGACCTTGGCCCCCCTTTCTTTTGACTGGAATTCTATAAAGTAAATTCTTCATCACTTTCTGAAGTCCTATGCTTCATGAGATTTTTTTTTGTTTTGTGTTTTATATGTTCAATTTAGAATATAATCCATGAGAACTGTATTATCTTTTATTAATCATCATTTAATAACATGGATGTATCCACTTGCATCCTGTAAAAGTAGAGAACAGAAGCTCCTTAATTTTAACTTATATCTTATTATGGTTTTCTTTGTAATAATTTCCCAAGGTTTGCTCAGAAATGTTCATAAAATTAATATTTGCAAAATATGTTTTCTATTTTTTCAATTTCTCTCTGCCTAAGTTTTAATTTACAAATGTTACTAAAATGCCATCAGGTTAATAAAGAATAAGCTCTTTTGTGCTAATATTGAAAGCATTTTTGTTTACTCTTAATATTTTAATTTCTACTTAGATCTATGGGAGTAGACAATCAAGAAATCCAAACAATACAGTGGATATACCCCTTTATTGGACTCCCACAGGCACCATTCCCTAAAAGTCCTTCAGGTAGGTATATTTTGGAGTCAAAATACATCAGAATTCTAAGGGATCTTAGCCATTTTCCAATCTCACCTCTTCCTTATGCAGATAAGAAATTCAAGGTCCAGTGAAAATAAGTAGTGAAATTGGTGGGAATGCTAGAATATAACTCCCTCTCTCAAAAAAGAGTCTGATAACTTTTCACAAAACCAATCCATTTATTGGTGCCATCCCATTAGTAAAACCCAGATATCAGTTCAAGTTGAAATAAAATTAAATTCTCACCCTTTCAGCCCATAGAACCCTGCATTAGACCTATACGATTCCTGGGTACCTTTGTTCTCAGGTCACTTTTTATATTTCTTTAGTGCCTTTTACTCATACATAATATCGGGGTTCATTTTAACATAATCACACATGCTTAGAATATAATTTGCTCCATTTCAGGCCTTCCTCTTTCCCTTTCCTCCTCAGTTTCCCTGTTCCCCTTCCTCTACTCTACTGGTCTTCCTTGTATTTATTTATAATTTTTTAAATTAGTGCTTTATAGATATACTTAAAGGCGGAGTTTGCTGTGGTATATTCATAAGCATAGTTTGGTCAATTTCATTTCACTCTTCCTGTCTTTTCAGTCCCTCCTTCCGTTTTTCCCATCCCCTTCCTCTGCTCCACTGATGTCTCTTCTGTTTTCATGGGCTTCCCCTCCACCCACCTTTTTGCCCTTATTTTGGGATAGCTTCCGCCTATGAGAGAAACATTCGACCCTTGACTTTCTGAGTCTGGCTTATTCCACTGAGCATGATGGTCTCCAATTCCATCCATTTACCAGGTCACTTTTAATCATCATATTTCCGTTTCTGTGAAGTCATCTAAGACAGTCATCTTAGTCATCTAAAAACTCTCCTGTGAAGATGCTGATTCATTTCTCTTAGTTATACTAGATATAAAACAAATCTTTATGATGTTCTTGAATGCACCAAAGTTTTCAGGGAGGTTTACTTTGCCAAGATACAACATTAAATCCCTGCCCTTATATGCCTTTGTTTTTTCCCACATATTCTAGGCTTCTCTCAAGTTTCGGTGTGTTCTCTTTCCCCATAATTTGCTCATTTCTTCTATATTCCTTAATTTTCCCATTTTCTTCCCAGTATCACACTAAGAAATACAATTCCACTTAGATAACTCATGTAGAGAAATTTAGTATCCCAGCCCTTATCAGTCTCTAGGTACAGTTCCTTATATCTAACATACACTAAATTAATCTGCAAAGCAAAGGGCTGTTTTGGATCTCTGTCTTGAGAAACACAGATGTTTTAAAAATTCTTGAAATTTTGCTTTTATTCTTCTCTTTCTAATACTAATCATTGCAAATGTAAAGAATCAGATTTCCAGGGTGGTGGTATAGCTTCATGTTAGAGTGCTTACCCAGCCTTTGTGAGGCTCTGAGTTTGATCCCCAGCAACAACAACAAAAAAGAATTTGACTTATGTTGACATAAATTATGTCTGCACTCTTAGAAAAAAGAGAAAGTAGTAAGTTTTGCTTGTAAATAAAGTATTTCCCAAGATACATTGCTTAAAAGAAAGACCAAGATGACATATTTCCTTAGGCAGTTTAATTTTAACTGGAAAAAAAACCACATACATAGTAGTACCTTTAACAATACATGTCATTTGTTTTCCTTGAAATATTTTTATTCAAGTTAAAAAAATTATCAACAAATACATAAATGTTTCAAATATAATAAATTATCTTCAGAACATTTCACATACATGTCCAAATGTCTTTTATTTCATTCTAGAAGATAGGTGATTGTATATTTTCCATAGAGCTGTACTATTTGAAATTTATAATACGCAGTCATCTGATAAAAGTGATGTAATAAAGCTTATACATCACGCTGTTGGAATTCTAATAGTAGTGTTGCTTGTATCCACTACAGAAACAGTCTTGTTTTTCCCAGATTAAAAACATAAAGCAGAATTTTTCAGTCTATAACAAAGCCTATGAGAACATAACAACATAAATTTCTTGCATATTTTTCTTCAAAGAAAATTAAACATGCTCCAGGGCATTTTTCCTTTGAGTCACTTTTCTTGGTAATTACTTGATTTTTAAATCAAATATGAGTTCTGTAAATAGCCCAACCTAATAGCAACATCAGTGTTCTCAAAAAGATTGCATATTAGTTACTAAATCTTTTTATTGAAAATCTAAAATCTGTTGGCAATTACTTTTCTCCACAAATGCCCTTGAGAGGCAAGTTGGTTTAATTTTATACATACGTATTATTTGTGCTCTTGTACAGTCCATTCTCCACTTTTTCATTTAATAACTAATCAGATATAAACTATTGCTTTCCTTGCTCAGTTTTATCACTGTCAAAGTTCATTATTTCTTTCCTTTTTTGTGTATCTATCACTCCGATTATTTGCAAACCCAAGATGCTTTTGTTGTTCTGTGAGCCACCTTTTCTCTTTGTACATTCTTGCCTACTACTCTCCATTGAGGCAGATAACTGGAAAAGGACTTCACTCCCTGTCACACATTGAAGACAATGGAAAATGAACCTGCTGTGATTGAGTGAGCCTTGCATTGCCAGGGCACTAATTTCCTAAGGACTATAGGAAAAGACCAGTATATGATACCAATTGTAACTTTGATCACAAATTTAAATGTCCAATGCTTTAAGACTGAAGTTAATTATAACTAGAAAAGCTTGTACAGTTTTTCTAGCCATTTCACCAATGAGCTTCTTTAAATTACATCTAACTTTTTACCCTTACTATACATCCACATTGTTTATTGTGAGTCCATATTGTTCAATAAAAATCTACATAACTTTAATGAAAAATTAACTTATTACAGTATTTTATATTGCAATATCATATGTATTGTGAAAACATATATCTGAGGACATCAATTAATTTTGCAGTTTATGTGAATGTATTATTATTGATACCATAAACCATCCCATAATACATTTCAAAGCTTTTTTATATTAATTCCCTTTTCCCCTTATATTCAATTTAGATTCTACATGCATTTGACTTAATAAAAGTATAATATATTATGTTTCAGAGAAATAATATTCTTATTTATGTGGACTCTAGTACACATGGCCTCATGGTACCATAGAGTTAATGCCAAAAAAAACTTAATACTTCTTTTTATAATTAGTGATTGCACATATAAATAATATTTTGATTTCTAATAAGATAATTGAAAGCTTCTCTTGTACTTTCTATATGAAATTATTAGAATTAAATATAAGATAAATCTTTAATGCTGTATTTTAAATATGCAGTTAAATTTTAACATTGATTTTAAACAATTTATTATAATTTTGTTTTTCACTACTAAAAAAGGTACATTTTGTAAATTTAAAAAAGTAATTCAAATGAAAATTTAACTCCAGTAAGATTGGCAACCACTATGAAGTCAAACAACAACAAGTGCTGGCGAGGATGTGGAGAAAAGGGTACACTTGTGCATTGCTGGTGGGACTGCAAATTGGTGCAGCCAATTTGGAAAGCAGTTTGGAGATTCCTGGGAAAGCTGGGAATGGAACCACCATTTGACCCTGCTATTGCCCTTCTTGGACTATTCCCTGAAGACCTTAAAAGAGCATGCTACAGGGATACTGTCACATCGATGTTCATAGCAGCACAATTCACAATAGCTAGACTGTGGAACCAACCCAGATGCCCTTCAATAGATGAATGGATTTAAAAATGTGGCATTTATACACTATGGAATATTACGCAGCACTAAAAATGACAAAATCATGGAATTTGCAGGGAAATGGATGGCACTAGAGCAGATTATGCTTAGTGAAGCTAGCCAATCCCTAAAAAACAAATACCAAATGTCTTCTTTGATATAATGAGAGCAACTATGAACAGAGTAGGGAGGAAGAGCAGGAAAAAAAAGATTAACTTTAAACAGAGACATGAGGTGGGAAGGAAAGGGAGAGAAAAGGGAAATTGCATGAAAATGAAGGGAGACCCTCATTGCTATACAAAATTACATATAAGAGGTTGTGAGGGGAATGGGAAAATAAACAAGGAGAGTAATGAATTACAGTAGATGGGGTAGAGAGAGAAGATGGGAGGGGAGGGGAGGGGGGATAGTTGAGGATAGGAAAGGTAGCAGAATACAACAATTACTAATAGGGCATTATGTAAAAATGTGGATGTGTAACTGATGTGATTCTGCAATCTGTATTTGGGGTAAAAATGGGAGTTCATAACCCACTTGAATCAAATGTATGAAATATGATATGTCAAGAGCTTTGTAATGTTGTGAACAACCAATTAAAAAAAATGAAAATTTAAGCAGGGTATGGTGGTGCATGACTGTAATCTCAGCTACTCCAGTGATGGAGGCAGGAAAATCACAATTTGAGGTCAGCCTAGGCAACATGACAAGACCTTGTGTCAAAATAAAATATAAGTAAAGAAAGAAAAGAATGGGGGTGTAGCTCAGTGGTAGCGTGACCCTGGGTTTAATCCCAGTACTGAAAAAAAATGAAAATTTAAATATTTTACTTAAATAATTTAAATGTGAACTTTAATATGCCTGTAAATAAATCTAATAGAAATATTTTAAAGGTTATTACAAAATAAATGTTACTAAACTTATTTGAAGCCATTTTCTATAATATTATTATAAAAGTGGAATTTGATATTACCAAAGGAACATCCAGATTTTTTAAAAAAAAGATAAATTTAAATGTCCACAATTGCTGTTTGAGTTATTGATATGGCTCTTTCAGTTTCTGAATCAAATTTATGCATTCTAATGTAGTCTTTTGTAATCCAGTATATATATTACAGATTTACCTCTTGCCATACTGCTTTTAAATATTTCTTTAATATTCATACTTGTTTCGTAGATGTCAATATGTAGATATTGCATGAGTGTTTGTATGTGTGTGTGTGTGTGTGTGTGTGTGTGTGTGTCGGTCTGTCTGTCTGTTAAGGCCAGATAATGAGAATTTAAAGTATTTCAAAATAAGTTTTATTTTTCATGACATAGTTCATTTATTTTATTTATTCTATAGTTAATATTATTTTAACTATTTATTCTATTTATTCTGTAGTTAATTTAACTGAAAATATTTCTCTCCTATAGTTGTCATAAAATGTCAATCCAGGAAGCGAGTAGAAGAGAAGGTGGAAGTCACACTTATTGGTGATTTTTTTGGACCAAGTCCTGCCCCAGAATTGACAGAATTTTTAGTGCTTCCAAAAAGAAATTCATATAGTAATGCTTTTGAAGATTTCATTGGTAAGAGAAACATAATCATGGATATAAAAAAACAATAAATTAAAGCTCATCTTGAATCATAGGTTGCTGACTGCTCAGTTATAAAGAATCATGCCCATTTATTTTTTATTTAATATTTTATAGTTTAAAAAAAATTTAAGTTATAGATAGATACAATACCTATAATTTTTTTTATTTTTATGTAGTGCTGAAGATCAAATCCAGTGCCTCACACATGCCAGACAAGTGCTCTACCACTGAGCTACAACCGCAGTCCCCCATTTAATTTTCATTTACAATATAATATTTAAGTTAGTGCTTAAAGACTGCTGTAGTATGCTTATTGTTTCCACATAGCAGTTAGCTCAAAAATGACAATAGTTATGGTTATTGTTGGATTTATAAGACATGGATTGTGATTCTGTCAACGATGAGAAAGGAAAAAGCTATAGTAACTGTAATTTCTACTTCTTCTCAACTTTAATTTGTTCTATAACTCTGTCTTCCGATTTAAGGAATCTGATTGAAGCTATAACTTATAGTTTTAAATTTAGAAACAAAATCTTGAATGAATATCTTATTTAAAATATAGAAAATTGGACAAATTAAATGTAATGCCCAAATGGTTTTCAGATAATAAAGTTAATTAAGTTTATTGTATGCTTTTAATTTATATTCCATATTTTTATATAAAAACTCAAATTACTTTATTATATGTTACAAGTAGAGCATTCCTGATCTAAAACCTCAAATCCAAACTACTCCAAAGTCTGAAACTTTTTGAGCACCAACGTGATGCAAGTAATTGGTATATCACATGGCACTGAGTGATAGCAACAGGATGGAGTAAGGAGATCTGGACCCTCCTCCTGTCCACACATTCGAATTCAGCAGCAATTCATGGACAAATTTCCTTTTTAAGAAAGCAGTAATGATTTTAAAGGTTCCCTGCACCTTGGTGGAATGTGTAACCAGACTCATCAAAACCTGTGGGGAGATTTGGATCATGCTGTTTTCAAAGACCTTGTCCATGACAAAGAACTTCTTATGATGATGGTCCTGGCAATGATTTTATAGGTATAACCAAAATCACAGTAGACACAATAATCATCAACAAGTAGGACTGAATCAAACTCAAAAGCTTCTTTAAAGTAAATAATGAACATGATGAAAAGAAGCAGCCTAGAATGAGAAAAAATATTTGCAAATCACCTATCTGGTAAGGGGTTAATCTGGAAAATACATAAGGAACTCCTACAACTCAATAAAAAAAAAAGGCCTAAAAACAGTTTTTAAGATATGCTAAAGAACTTTGATAGATATTTCTCCAAAGAATGTACAATGGCTATGTGAAAATAGGCAACATTACTAATCATCAGGGAAATACAAATCAAAACCACCAGGACATATCAGCATGACTGTTATTCTTTTTTAAAATGCAAATAGAAATGAGTGTTGGCAAGGATGTGGGGAAACCTTTTAAAATTTTCACACTGATGTGAAGAACAAAGAATGGTGCAATTGCTACTAAAAATAGTATGAAGACTGCTCAAAAAATCAAAAACAGATCAATTGTATGATCTAGCAATTCTACCTCTAGATACTTAACCAAAAGAATTGAAATCAGGATCTCAAAGAGATATCCATACTTTCATATTCATTGAAACATTATTCACAGTAACCAAGATTTAGAAACAACCTAAATGTCCATCAACAGATGAGTAGATAGAGAAAATGTGGTATAAACATACAATGAAATGATGTCGAGCTTTTTTTTTTAAAAGGAAATTCTATTGTATGTAAGAATATGAGTGAAACTAGAGGACTTTATAGTAATTGAAATAGCCAACCATAGAAAGACATACTATTTTATAATAAATTTAAATTAGTCAAATTCATAGAAACATAGTAGAACAGTAGTTGCCAGGGTATGTAAGGAGGGAGAAATGGGTATAAAGTTTCAGTTGTGCAAGATGAATAAGTTCTAGAGACCTATTGTACAGCATAGTGCCTACAGTGAACAATAGTGTATTCTGCCTTTTAAAAAAAATTTATGAAGAGTGCAAATCTCATGTTACACTAAGTATAAAGGAAGCTACAGAAATAGACCTAGGGGCCTTTTCTGCTTGTCTCACTACTTGTCATTCTATGGTTTACAACCTGACAATTCTGCTAATTAAATTGATTAAAGCTTACTACCAGAAAAAAAGCATATCTTCCTACATAATCAAGGTCTACCAGGAAGCTACTTCCATCATTTCAGAAACATTGAAAGTCATATTAAGAAAACAATCTCTCAAGTAGCTCTTGAAAATACATATTTTGATATGGCTCTCATTTTACTGCTTCATTACTTTTCATGATGAAAAAGAATACTTAATATTGAAAATAACTATATGGAAGGTTTGCAAGCTCTTCTCCACCCATTATTCTCTCTAAAATATCCTTTTTCTCTGTTCAATACCCCAAACTCAACAAGCTCATCTGTTTTTCTCTACATTTTAATTTGTAAATCTCTTTTATTGTTTACATGAAGTGTGTTTTGCTGTATAGAAACGAATCAGTTCCCTCCCGATTTAATATTTTCTGTCTCTATGGTATCTAAATATTTGATAAATTAGTTGACCTCATCCTCTTCTTAAGGGCATATGGCAATAAGTTGTTTTCTTTCCCTGCCCTATTTCAAGGACATAATGAATGTGCTTGCACTCTCTATTTTTTTTTTGACCCTCCCTTCCTGCCTATTTTCTTTTTGAAGGGACAATTCTGACTGATAAGTCTGAATACTATTTTAGTCTTTAGTATATGCAAAAGCAAATTGACTGTTTTCCCCTTGTGTAATTTAATTACAGCGCATACCACACATGAAATAATATCCAGGAGTTATGTTGTCCAGGCCATTTTGTGCTTCCTGTTATCTCTTAAGTCTCTTAGGATGGAAATTAAAGCACTCTTCTGTGGCTTGGACTCTGATTGGATTTTTGGAGTGAAATTTAATCACATTCTTTTCTTCTCTCATCTGAGTTTAAAACCAGCTAAGGAACAGATGTAGAAATAAGGCAGATGGAGACCAAAGTGTTAGCTTTATTAATTATAAATATGAATTTGAAAGTGAGTTGGCTCTATGGACTTATTTGAGCTTATTAGTGCCTTCCACAGTAACAATTCCATTCATAGCAAACTGACCAGTTATAGACTCCCTGCAGAGACAAACAATCTATACAAGAGGGAGGAAAATAAAATATGAATCCTAGATTCAAAACATTGGGAAAGAAAGAGAGAGTCTGGCTCATGTGCTCATGTTCCATTTCCATTTTTCATTAGTGACTGGATTCACTAGTCAGATATGTTGCTTTTACTCTCAGGGAAAGTCATGATAGAAGAGACAGGTCGAAGCTGATTTTTCCCCCTACTATGTCCCCTCACCCTTTCATGTGTGAATAGGCCTCTCTGTGATAAGTAGGAGTAGTTAAGAATCCCCAACATTCTCTTCCCATCACCCACCCTTTATCTTCATCATATATTTTTTAAATCCAATAAAAATACTAAGCCATGTTAAATAAAAATGCTGTGACCTCTCTACCTGAACTCCTCATACTCATCTTTGAATTAACCAGGATTGGTTGCTTTTATACTTTTATCATTGAACAACATTCTAGCAAGCATATTTCTACTAGATATTATGCTTGGTCCCAAAGATGCCAAAATTAACAAGACACAGACTCTGTTGTCAAGGGATTCAAAAAAACCCTTTTTAATATGTTGGATTTGTATACCTATATTATATAAATCAATTGATGTTACCCTACTGGGATATTATCATACTTCAATTTTTAGACTGTAGTTTATAATGTCACTTCTAGAAGATTACAAATCATTCTCTCTGGGAAGGATATCCCCTGTAATTGTATTTCTTCTTCCTAAGTAGTTCTTGGCCCATGTGTTGTTTGTGCTTCTCTAGGGATTTGTTCAGTGACTTTCTCTATAGGACTTTTTAATCTAGGAGTAGTTTCACTATGTAATTGTCCATCAGAATCATGCTTTTTATTTCTCAGGTGTTCTATAATTCAAAACTTTTGTTCTTAAATTAAGCTGTTATATTTTTGTCTGATTTGCTGATTTGTGTGTCACAATTGTCTCATTTCACCCTAGGCTAATCACCTTGCTATCTTTTTTGAATGCTGTATGTAAACTCCCATGTCAGATTTGGTCTATAATCACAAATATATCTTGAGGAACTTTTCAGTGATACTCCTGTGAGCCCACATTGGCCTCCAGTCTTTAAAGCTTTTCTCTGCTCCTCTTCACTTTATTTTCTCTGATCAACTCCTGTCCTACCTGCTCTAAGAATACCCTTAAGTATACTGTCAACCTTTCAGGCACGGTTGTGCATACTTGTAATCCCAGAGGCTTGGGAGGCTGAGGCAGGAGGATTGTGAGTTCAAAACCAGCCTAAGTGAATGTTCTCTCTGATAAGTGGATGCTGCGCCATAATGCAGGGGGCCACTTTAATTGGGCAAAGGGGAGGGAGGATCGAAGAGGGAGCATGGGGGCAGGAAAGATGATAGAATGAGATGGATATCATTACCCTTGGTACATGTATGACTGCACATTTGGTGCAACACTACATCGTGTATAACCAGAAAAATGCAATTGTGCACAATGAATCAAAATGCATTCTGCTGTCATATATACCTAATTATAATAAATAAATAAATAAATAATTTTTTTAAGAAACGTAGTGAGACCCTGTCTCAAAATAAAATATAAAAAGGCTCAGTAGTTAAGTGCCCCTGGGTTCAATGCCCAGTACTAAAAAAAAAAAAAAACAAGAGAGAGAATACCATCAGCCTTACTTTTCCTGTATACCTAATGTAATGGACAAATTTGTGCTCATAGCTTAGTCTGTCAGCAAGTTGAAGGAGTTTTGCTCTTGGTATTAATTTACTATCTTACTAGTTGTCACTTTTCTTCATCTCTGTTGTTTGCTGTCATCCTCTGACAAGAATATAAATATCTGAGTGCTGTAATGTGGAAATAATAATAGTATTCATCTTATAGAGTTTTTTGAGGATTAAATGTATAAATGCATGTGAAATCTTTAGAAAATGCCTGGTTCTCAATGTGTGCTCCATAAGTATAAGATACTACCATTGTTAACATTTAAAGCTCTGGTTGGGTATTATGGGATAGAATGTACTAATGACATTTTGAAATGAAAACCAAATTCTCTCAATTGCATTCAATGATTTTTCTCAGAAGTATACAAAAGAATCATCTATGAAAAAAATGCAAAGACATGATGCCTAAATATTGGAAAAGATCTGAAATTGGATGATAATCACCAGTTCCCTCTCATCATTCTTAGAAATCTCAGATCATTCCCAAACCCCAACATGGTCTAGCTCTTGCTTATTTTGTTAGCTGCATTTTTTTTACAAGGTCCTCCCACTCTGTCTGCTCCACCCACATAAATTCTTCCTCTATGGGCCTTCCTGGTTTATGCACCATGAACAATTCCCATAGATCTCTTCAATGAATAGAAGTTTCCTCCCTCACTCACCCTTCAGTTTTGGTATATTGGTCTCCTCCATAGGAATCCTTAGTAATCAAGTCTCCAAGACTGTATTACTCTCATAGCCTCCTTTACTTCTCTGTGGTAGCAGTTACTACAGAAATAATTTAAAATTAGTATTCATATTAGCAACTGTCAGTTCCTTCCCTTGATCATAAGCTCTGGAGGGGCAAGAACTATATCTTTTCTTACAGTGATTCCTCCTTATCTCACCTTTTGTCCCCTAGCCAATAAGCATGAATGTATCTTATACTAATAGACCTTTTATGAATTTAATTATGACATCCATAATAACAGATCTCTAGAGGTGGTTCAAAGATTCTGAAACTAAAATTAACTTCTCATTCCCTAGTTTCATTCTGCAACCACCATTCCCAGAAAGGATTCAATAATTAAGCAGAAACAGATGCTGAAAGTATATTCAAGACATGCTTTACAAAAAAAAAAGAAAAGAAAAAGAAAAAGGAAAAAAGAAAACTTTAGCTGGGGGTGTAGCTCAGTGATAGAACACTTTCCTGTCATGCAGGAGGCCTTGGATCTCAAGCTCCAGCACTTCAAAAAAAATCTTTATTATGTTATTTGAATAAAATGGAAGCTCATCGCTCCTAAAACACTTCAACATTCTTAAACGTTATTTTTTCTGCATGGATTATGTATTCCTATGGAACATTTCCATATTCCAGTGTCAGAACAAGTGGACACATTATATGTAGACACATTGATTTTGCTATGTCAGAGATGGTTATTGACAGGGATAATAATTTATAATTTTGGTCATTTGAAAATCAGAAATTTAGGAGATTAGAGATTTATTTTTATGTGTGTTGTCATAGCCAAGCTTTCATTTAGAATTTAGTAGAAAAATTTAACATTAAGTACTTCTAAAAAGTGGTCTGGTGTTGTCTATTAAAATTGCTTAGAAAGTGCTATATGTTCTGAATTAAAATAATATAATAAGGAATAGCTTTATACACCAGAGATACACTTTAGAAGTGAGCTTAGTTGTGGATTATGTCAAGTCATGATTCTTTGACCTTTCTTCTATTAACCACATTCAATAGACTTCTTGATTTGTGGTTTGGGCCCCTTACATGTAAATGAAGAGCAAATTTAATACAGATTTGTGCCATTTACCTCCATTATAATCCTGAATTTAGGATATTCTTCTTCTGCAGTGGAAAAAACTCTAATATTAGTTACCTCTGGTAACCTGCTGGTTAAAAAAAATGTTGCTAAACATATTGTCTTTAAATTTCAAGTCTAAAACATAAAGAACACTCTTTTATTGAAATATATCTGAAATTGAGAATTCTGATCTAATAATTTGAGATGCTGTTTTGGAATTGTTTAAATTGAATTAAATTAAATTTAAATCTTTTTATATATTTCACATCTATAGCTTTTAATATGCATTTATAATATAGAGTACATCTCATGTCATTTTTTATTTCATAGTTAATATTGACCATTAATTTCTATTGGGCTTTTCCTACTCCATAATCCAGAACTGTAAGGATTTACGAAGGGCAAGAATTGTCTTCTATGTTACTTTTTATATTCATGCATTTATTTATTTATCTTTTAATAAAATATACATAGTATTATATAGCTGATAATGTACTAGACATTATGAACACAGAGCTAGATAATTATGGCCTCTCCCTTCTGCTAAATGCCTATGCATGACTTGTGTTGATATATAAATTGATGTTCAATCTCTCCATATTTAATTACATTGAAATATATTTTAATCTTGATTTTCCTAGCAATTCCTAAACTACGTGAATTTGAATATGAAATAGAGTTTGAAAATGAAGTTATGAAGTCTAACTTGGAATCCTGTTTGGCTTTATATTTGATCAAAAAAAGTTATAATATCAAACACCAAATGATATCATTGGTCTTCAATCTGACATTTACACCAAAGAAACCATTGAGGTAAACCTGCTTTCCTTCTCTTTTTCTTTAAACAATATTATTACTCTCAATTAATTAAACTATCTAATGTTGCTAACTAAACTAATCTAACTAAATTAAATGTTTGGTTTTTATTTCCATATTTCAATATTTGGATTATATTACTTTTTTGATGCTAGTAAGTGAAATGTTTGGGGCTAAATTATTTTCAGCTAGTAAACTATGAAACATATTCTAATGTCTAATGGTTGGAAGTCTAAGCTAATTTTCAGAAACTGACCTCTCTAAGTCATTAAAGTGTCCTGTTAACAAAAAAGAACAATTGCCTATTTTATAATATCTTTTTTAAAGAAAATGACCAAGGGATGTACAATGGCAACATATTTCTTGATGCTACTTTTTAGAACAGAACCAGTTCAAATGATGAAAATGCCTAAATTATGTTCTACATTGCAACTGCTTTCATTACCCTTTACCACTTAACACCATAACATTACACATCTGTTACTAAGACGTATGTGGATGTGTAAGAATAGTAGGCTTTGGATGTTTCCCCTTTAGGAAATCTCATCCAATGTCTTTATATTTACTCTTTGGGCTACTGACACTTAGCATTTATAAATATTATATGTATGTCACATCTGAGATAGGGATTTATTTGTGTCTGAATGCAGAGATACTGATCAGAATCAATATATACAAAATATAAAACTTGGTAATGAACAAAACATCTGAATGAACAAAACATTGTGCTTTAATTGCCTCTAAATTTTGCAACTATGTATTTGATATAGATATGCATTTATTTGAAGTGGCTATGAATATCTATTCTAATAACAAAACAATACTAGAATCATTTTCAGGAAGCAGTAATAAATGCAAGCTACAAGAAAATAGTGCACCATAAATGCTGACATTGCCCTCTTTTCCATTTCATTTTTGTAGTTTTCTATGTTCATTTGCTAGTATTTTTTATATTTAGTTGTGTAATTTCATTATTTTAATGATATGGAATATTCAGCAACAGCTAGAAGGAGAACAATATTATCATTGGTGAATATGTAACACAGGTCTAAACAGTTTTTTAAATTGAGAATTTATATCATTTGTCATGTTTTATCTACAGAAACACTAATTATCTTAGCTTGACATTTTTCTGGAAACTTTTACCTGTTGAAGAGCTGAACATAATGAGAACCCCAAGTTCTGATGCAGCTTGGAGGAGATAATTTAGAATAGATGATATCACATATATACATTGTTATGAATCTGTGCCATCTGTGAAATTAAGTAGTCTTCCCCACTATGGCCCTAAAATGTTGACATGGTAATTTCATGCTAACTCAAAGAATTGACCTGTTGAATGGAAGTATTCAGTAATAGTCATTTGAGTATGTACATTACTTTACTAAAAAATCATTTAATTTCTACAAAGAAACAAAATTCCTGCACTTTTGGAGTGTTTCACTCAGTGAGAGTGACAGATAACAGAAATAAATGTATAAGTAAGCAAGATAATTTCAGAATGTCCTGAGAAGGAAATAAATAGGGTAAATAGAACTATTGAAAGATCTGCTTCAGACAAGGGGGATTGTTAGGCTTCTATGAAGTGATGTCTGAATTAAAATCTTATGGCTGATAACAGCTGGGAAGAGCATTTAAGGTGAGGAAAGAATAAATGCAGAAGATATGAAACAAGAAATTTTTGGCATGAGCAATGAATAGTAAGAAGGCCAATGCTTCTCTAATATATTGAGCAAAGGAGGAAATAAGATTGGAAAGAGTAGTTGAGTTCTTATCATTTAGGGTTTTGATGCAATAGGTCCATATTTATGCTAGAAACAATAGGAAACTATTGAAGGACAAATATTTGGAGAATTGATTTAGGAAAACATGTATATATCATTCATAAAATGAATGGATGATGTTGGATGGTAATCTGATGTAACTTAACAATTGTGTGTTATACACATCAGTACGTGTTCATTTATTTCTATCATTCCCTGTTTGAAATATATTTGTGACAGTTCACTGGAAGAGACATAGTAAAATATGAAAAACCAAAATAAAACAATAGCTCTAAATTATGGAAGTTCTCTCTCTTCCTTGTAAGACAGAAAAAATAGAAGTGTGAAAATTAAGTCTTGAAAACAATACAAAGAGAGGAATATAGTTTTACTTTCTATAACAAGAGTGTGTTAGAGAAGTATACATTTAGGATTTATATTTTAGATATGTTAACTTTAATGATATATCACTAGACATTGGCTAAGTTATACTGCGTAGTATTCCATTTTTTCTATATAATGCACTTTTTTTTAACCAGCACCCTATTGAAAGAACAATTTAAATTTTTGCTCCCACTTTTTTCTTTTTTGACAACAGGGATTGAACCTGGGGATTCTTTACCACTAAGCCACATCCCCAGCCCTTTTTATTTTTTATTTTGAGACAGGGTCCCACTAAATTGCTTAGGGCCTCACCAAATTGCTGTAGCTGGCTTTGAACTTGTGATCCTCCTGCCTCAGCTTCCTGAATCATTGGAATTATAGGTATATGCTACCACTGTGCCCAGCCACTCCCACTTTGTTGGCAGTATAAACAATGCTATAAAAATGCAGCAATAAACATGATACATATCACTTGAACTATTGGAAGCATATCTCTAGGGAAATTACTGAGTGGAATTGCTGGTTTACTGTGTGTAGTGTTCAAATTTGGTAAAATATTGACCAGTTGCTGCCCAAATGACTAACCAATTTTATACACCTACTTACAAAGGAAAAGAGTTTCCAATGCTGTCCTTTCTGACACTTTTAGGTAAGCAGTTTGAGATTTCATTTTTCAATCCTGAATTAGGATTTTGCAACCACATTCTTGAATATTTGAGTCATTTCCACCATAGGCAGGCAAACAAACAAAACCATTGTTCAACTCCAACTGCTATCCTCTCTCTCCATTCTTCACCATAGCCAAATGCTTTCAAAGTCTATCTTTTGAATTTTATTCCTTAACTTAACTGCCTTTCAATGATATACTATTTAGTAGGGTGTATGTGATCTTTACCAATTAGTTTACTTTTTAAAAAGATTCAATTAATTTGGAACTTTTCAGATATTAACAAACCATATTTCTGACAATGATTCATTTTGACAGAAAATTCCCAAATGGAATTTTATTATAAAACTTGAAACCATTTGCCAAATCTACCCTTACATTCTTAAGTACTATGATATTCTATGGTGGTTATAAAAATTTGCACAGTTCTTTATGCATAAACTACTGATTTTTAGAACATAAATAAACATCAGATAAAATGTGCTACAAAATAATTACCTCAAAGGGATAATGACAATCTAAACATTATCTACAAAGTATTTCTAAAATGTAATTAACAGTCATCTGCATTATGTAAGAATTACATGACCCAGTGCTTTTGCTGAAACCTCAAAGTTTGCTTACATTTTGATCTTAGATATTGATTTGCTATGTTTGTTCTCTTGTGTTTCTATAGTAGCTTTTAAAATCTCCTTTTATATTCAAGGTCTCATATTACACTGAAAATAGAGTGCTTAACAGATGGAATCTGGAAGTTTCCCATGCTGTTGATTGCTACTAAGCCTGAAGTGGATGATGTCATTGACATTGAAGGAATTGGTTTACTTAAGGAATCTACTACTGACTTTAGACTGACAAGTCAGACAAGGTAATATATCAAGCAAAAAATATGTAACTGGTTTTATTAATGTAATTTATACTGAATTGTGGAATGAAATTTAAGAGAAAATCCTATAGGTCATGTTTTCCTGGTTAAGCCAGAGTGGTATTGCTGCTGTGACTCAAAGCTTTATAGATTTCATAAATATTTATTTAAAACTTGGAATATAGAGTCTACAATGGGAAGATTAGAAAAGAGAAGCAAAGGTAAATAATTAGACATTTGAATTTAAGATAATATTTCTATTTGTTTTCAAAATATGTTTCAATATATTATTTCAAAGATAGATGGGTCATTTTTCAGTAAATTTTAATGGTATTAGGAAATCAAATGGTTTAACTAAGTAGAGATACTTGGGGAGCCTATACAGATTCACTTTGTAGCCAACTCTTGTTCCCAAACCTAGTCTCAGGCAAACACTGATTTCTTTTCTATCTCTTTAGCATTGCCTTTTCTGGATATTTTATATCAATGAAACCATATACTATGTGGTCTTTCATATATAATTTCTTGCACTGTTTTTATCTGAAGTTCAGTAGTTTTCATGAAAAAGTACCTCTCAGTCTGTTGTTTACATTTGGTCAGTTTCCAGAGTATTGAAATTGTTGTTTTTAATGGTTGTTCATCTTACAGTTACTACTGGGGGAGAGGATTTGTTTACCTCATCCAGTCCAGTGGAAGAGAATTCTGTATATTTTAAATTACACTAGAGTTGTCTATGAATCCTCCCTGAGATTTTGTACTTAAAGTACTAAGATCTGTTGCTAATTATTTTGATTTTACTTTACTACAGAGTTCATGTAAGTCAGATTCCTTCTTTTTTTAAGGAAAATTTATTGTGACTCATAGTTTCAGGGGTTCAGTCCATGGTAGTCTGACTCTATAGCTTTGGGCCTAAGGCAAGGCATGACATCATGGTGGAAGGGCATGGTAGAGGAAAGCAGCTCAGAGCGTGGTGCCAAGGAAGCAGAGAAAAGGCATACCCCCAAATACCAATCTCCTTTAGTCACACCCTAGCTACCTGGAGTTGCAGCCCACTTAATCCATTTAAGAGGATCAATTCACTGATTAGGTTACAACTCTTATAATCTAATCGTTTCACCTCTGAAAAATTTTTCCATAGTCTCACACATGAGTTTTCACAGGATGCCTCATATCTAAACCATAATGTTCCACCCCTGGTTTCCCAAAGCTGATGCCCATCTCATAGTGCAAAATATATTAAGTCCATTTCCAAAAGTACCCATAGTCTTAACATAAGTTACACCATTACCAAAATTTCAAGTCCAAAATCTCTTCTGAGACATGAGTGAAACTCCTAGCTTTTTTCTACTATACAGATCAAAAGGAAGTTACAGGGTCCAGGGTTATAGCTCAGTGGTAGAGTGCTTGCCTAGCATGCGTGAGGCACTGAGTTCGATCCTTGGTACCATATAAAAATAAACAAATAAAATAAAGGCATTGTGCCCATCTACAACTAAAAAAATATTGTTTAAAAAAAGCAAGTTATATATATCCAATACATAATGGCACAAAATAAACATTTCCATTCCACATGAGAAATAGAAGCACATACAGAAGGGATGAGACCAAAATAATACCAAAATCCAGCTGGGCAAACAAATTCTGTAGCTCCATTTCAAGTATCTAGGGCAAATGGCATTGTGATATTCTCTTCAAGGAGTTTGTGCAGCTCTGCCCCTATGTCCTTACTTGTTGCAGTCCACATGGCCTCTCTCTTGTCTTGTTTCTGCTCCATTCCTACTTCTTTCTTCAGCAGATGTCACGTTACTGGCCTTTCTTAATCTCAGGGGTCTCTGTTGCAACTTTGGCTTCCTTCTCACTTCTTCACATATTACCCTCTCACAGGCAGCCCACAGGAAATCTATTTCTGCTGCACTTTTCCTGGCCTCCCAGGCCTTCCTTTGAAATCTCGGTGGAAGCCTTCATGACTTTCAGCATTCTGTATGCCTTCAGACTTAGCACCATGTTGTTCACACCAAGTCTGACACCTTCTCAAGCAGTTGCCAGACCCTCTGGGACCACTGATGCAATTGCCTCTAAGTACCTGGGTGGCTGATCACAGTGAAACCGTGACCCCCTGTGCGAGCAGAGTGCCTACATGGGCTCTTATCAAAGGATTTTACTTTTACACTTTTGAGCCTAAAATGGGTGTGGTCTTACCAAGATGCCCTCAAACCATCTTTCCTATTGTTGCTAGGCAAAGTTAGTGACTGTAATCTCTTTAACAGCCACAAGTTCCTTCATTAGCAAATCACTAGTCTTATACTTTTCTGGCCAAACTGCAAGTTTTTCAAATTTTTCTGTTCTGCTTTTTGCTCCTGATTATGACAGTAAATTTGGCTAAAGCAACTAGCAATTCCCATGTCATCCCTGAATGCTGTACTCCCTTGAAATTTCCTCCACCAAATTAATTAGTCCATTACCTTTAAAATCAGCCTCATATAGAGTTTCAGGATATGGGCAAAATATACACAATTTCTTTGCCAGAACATAACATGAATGGCTGTAGTCCTGTTTGCAATAGAGTCCTCCCCCTCTGAAACCTCATGAGCCCAGTTTTCCCTGTCACAGTAATATGTTTTGGCATTCTGGTATTCTAAGTTCCTACCAGAACGACTTACTAAGCTCTGCCTACAACATTCTAAAGCTTCTTCAGCCTGTGTCTCTAAACTTTTCAACCCCACCCCCCACCCCACAAACCAGCTCCAAAGTCTGCTGAACTACATGGTCACTTTAGTCAAAGCCACAATCCCATGTCTCGGTGCCAATTTGCTTCTTTCTTGCTTCTTTCTTTGCTGTGACCAAAAGTCCTGACAAGAACAACTTAAGAGGAAGAAAAGTTTATTTTAGCTTATAGCTTCAGAGTTCAGTCCATGGTCTGACAACTCCATAGTTCTGGGCCCAAGGTGACACAGAATCTCATGGCAGAAGGGCATGGCAGAGAAAATAGCTCAGGATATAGCAATAAGAAAGCAAAGAGCCAGATCCCTTCTAAATAAGAGTAAGATTGTCCACTCAACACAGAGAGCTAAACTTTGGTGAATGGAGAAATAAGGGTTTCATATTACTGGGTCATAGTGATCTGTACAAAACCTGAGAAGCAGGAATATGAGAAAAAAGTACTAAAGTTACTATTTCTCTTTTTTATAAAACTGATTACTTGAATGCCTGTATTTCTTGATGACTACAGCTGTGCACTGTATTTGCCACCAAAATGAATTTGCCAAAGGGACTGGATATGCAGGCAAGCATTCTATACATTTTGGTCACAAATGAATGACAACAAAATGTATAATTACCTGTTTCATTTGGAGACCAATGACACAAGGGAGAGTGACCATAAAATTCATTGTTTCCGAACTTGAACTTTCTTGAAAATTTTATTTATCAAGCACTCAATTCATAATTAGGCTCTCTGCAAAGTAAACTGGGACATATCTAAGCAAAACCAGCTCTTACTGTTACTGTTTTTATAGAGCATAATAAGATCTTTACTATTTATCAAAAAAGGAATTTTAAGTCATCAAACACACTTTCATGTACTTACTCACCATTTGTATCTTCTCTTCAGTGAAATATCTACTCATTTCTTTTTTCCATTTCATAGTTGAATTTTTTTACTGTTGTTTTGAAAGTTCTTTATAATTCTTGATATCAACCTCTTAACAGAATTTTGGGGATGCCAGAGATTTTAATCTTGTATGAAGTCCAATTTATTATTTTCCCCTTTTTGTAACATACTTCTGTAGTCATTGTCTAAGAACTCTTAGCATTAAATACCAAAAACTTTCTTCTGTATTTTCTTAAAAAATTATTACAAACTTAAAACAATAATGGAATTTATCATATATGTATGGTTGTGTTTGAAGTAGAAGCTTATTATTTTTTCTATGAATGTTCAGCAATATTTGTTAAAGGGCTGGGGTTGTGGCTCAGTGGTAGAGCACTCGCCTCACACATGTGCGGCTCTGGGTTAGATCCTCAGCACCACATAAAAATAGATAAATAAGGGTATTGTGTCCAACTACAACTATAAAATAAATATTTTTGAAAATATATTTGTTAAAAAGACTGTCCTTCCTCCATGAAACTGATTTTGCTACTTCAAAAATTATTTATATTGATCTGGTTCTGGGTTTTCAATTCTGTTCCACTTATCCTCTGACAATGCTATACTCAAGTAGTGTGAATTCTTCTCATATTTATTTATTTATTTATTTCCATTACCTTTCTATATAAATTTTAACATAAGCTTGTCTGTCTACAAAATTTCTTCTTTACTTTGAAAGGACTGTATTAAACACATAGATCAAATTACTGATATTTATAATTTCCACTATAGTATTTAATATATTAGTTCACTAAACTATGTATTTACTATATTTCTGAAAGTATACCATAAATGGTACAGTTCTTGATTTATTTAGACCTTTGACTTTTTGGTATCAGTGTTTCCTAATTTTCAGCTTATAAATCCTGTATAAGTTTTCAACATTTATAGATAGACATTTCATTTTTGGAGTAGGTGTAAATGGCATTGTGTTTTTAATTTCAGTCTTCACATGTTTATTGCTAGTTCAGAGAGGATACAATTGATATTTTTGTGTTTGCTTTATATCCTCAGAATTTGTGAAGCAATCATATGTTCTATAAGCATTGTTTTTGTGCTCTGTGGCATTTCCTATATAGACATTCATGCCTCCCACAGATTTTCCAATATGTATGACTGTTTTTCCTTTTATGCCTATTGTACTGGCTAGGACTTTCAGTACTATATTGAACAAGAGTGATGAGAGTAGACATCACTTACTTCTTTCCAACTTAGGTGGAAAGCATTCAGCCTTTCACCATTAGTTGTTAGCTGTAGGTGATTTTCATCAAGTCAAGGACGTTTTTCTCCATGTTGGGATCCTAGGGCTAAAGTAAGAAATTAGCACAAAACCAGTGGCTTTAAAACAACAGAA